GCTTTCGCAATCGCTGTCGAACTCTATTGTACCGCCCCATTTGTTCGCGATTTGTTCCGCATTTAACAAATCATTTTGCCATGAATTTATTCGGCCGAAATAATTAAAGTTCCCAGATGATTTCTGGCGGGTAGCAAAATCTTGAACGTACTCGCATTGTTCGTTCAAATACTGTTCAGAGTTTTCCACCATTTTCTGCATTTCATGCACGCGCCGAAGCACCTCTTCATTTTTAGCCTCAATAAAATCATTTGTATTCGAGCAGTTTGATTGCTCACAATAATTACTTCCACCTCCACTACTATCGCTCATGCCAGAATCCTTTGCTTCCTCTAGTAACTCTGTCGCCATAACACTGTGAATATCCAGATCCATCGCAGCGTTACTAACAAATGAAACGCTCTTTGGTTTTGGTTTAATATCCGTAATGCTGGAGTAGTTAACGTCAGACGGTCCGATTGCATCTGGACTTTCAGTAGCAGACAACTTCTCCTTTTTATTTGTCGGATGATATGGTGGTGTCATGAGAAAGTTTATGCTGTGCGCTCTATTATGTAAAGGCAACAAATAGCTCCAAGCTGCGGGCAATACAGTGTGTTGTGATAAATATGAAGGTGCGTTGTCTTCATCATTTTGTTCCTTTTCTCGCTCTAATGGGAGCCTTTTCCCTAATATAAAAATAAGTATATTTTAAATTATATTAAACTCATATTAACGGAAATTCAATGAATACAAAAGTCATACCTGTCAGCAATCGATAATACCCAGCCAAAACTAATGAAAATTCACATGCATCGCGGTCCTCCATCGAAAATTTCACAACTTTGTCACCTTGCATAAATATGACCACATTGCTTGTAACGTCATCGTCCCGGTTAACAATGACATGACTAAAATCCTCAATAGCCGATATGGGCTGGGGCTGTATCAAAAATAATGAAGCATATCAGAAATATTATAGGTTTTTTACTAAATACCTAGAAACATACATTTACAGAGGCGCTAAACTTTGACTTCCATATATGGTATGTATTATATTCTTATAAAAAAATTACGAAAATATATCACGTAAATATTGTATGAGTGTATACATGTGTATTACATATGTAAGCATTTAGTTATATGTATAATATGTATGTAAGTATGTATGTGGGTCAATAAAAGGAAAATTTACACGTAAATAATGCTCTTTAAGTTCGAAAAAATTTTTATTTTCACATGGCACATGCTTTTTTCAACTAAAAAAACATTTGGCCATTGTTTGGCCGAGCTTTTCTTTAGATTTGTGGCGCACGCCTTATGTTGTCACATAAAGAGCAGGGACCTACAGATTTACTCCGCCTCCGAACGGCAAATGTTTTTTTTTATAAGAAATGCACCCAAGGAGACAACCGTCTTCATAGGCCGGCATTGAATATTAATAACTGCGGTCCAAAAGACGAAGCTCCACA